AAAAAATAATAGAGGGACTTGATACTCAAGCAAATATACTTAGCAATGACCGTTTAAAAGAAATTCTAATTAATTCTGAGGATAAGCTTTTAAAAAATATTCGTGAGTATGCAGTTGACAATAATGAAATTGATTATGTATCATTTACAACCGATATGTGGACATCAGATAATGGTGATCCATATATTGGGCTTACACTCCATTGGATAAATAATAAATTTCAAATAAAAGAAATAATTGGTAATATTTCATACCTTTCATATCCTCACACGGCTGAATGTCTTGTAAATAAGATAGTCAAAATTCTTAACAATCTTCAACTTAAAAGCAAAACTGTTTGTAGTACGATTGATAATGGACCAAATGTCAAGTTATGTTTAGAAAAGCTAGAACGTAAGTATGGTATATATAAAGTTTTTTGTTTTGGGCATATTTTACAACTTGCAATTAATGATGCGTTAAAAGAATGTTCAGAAATTACAAATTTAATAAAAAAATATAAAAATTTAGTATCACATTTTAGTGGAAGCCCAAAACAAAAACAATTTCTTTTAGAAGCCCAAATAGATTTAGATAATTGGAATAAATTTCTTACAGTAGTCCATGATGTTTCAACTAGATGGAACTCGACATTTTATTTATTAAAATGATTAACCATTTTTAAAACTGTAATGTATAAATATAAATCAATATTAGTCGAAGCTAATAACAATAGTTCACTAAAAAGTTATGAAGAAAAGAAACTATCATTAGATGATTGGGAAAAGGTAACCGAGTTGGTAAAATTATTACATCCTTATGAGGTTATTTCAAAACAATTATCTGGTTCACAGTATCCAACACTTTCACAGGCATGGTTCGCAATTAACTATATTAAAGTAGAGCTTAATTGTAGTATAACAAGTAATACTGATATTCAAAATTTTAGAAATTCTCTGTATAAATCAATTGAAGCACGATTTTTAGAGCCAACTAAGCCAATTCGACTTGCTGCTTTTCTTGATCCACGAACTAAAGATATGCAAATATTTAATAAAATTGAAAAAAATCTTACTATTTCAGAAGCACGCGAAGAGTATGAATTAGCTGTTAGTGAATTAAATACTTTATCTGATATAAGAAGTCAAATAGATTTAACAGAGTTTAGTAACAAAACGAAAGATGAAGATATTTTTTCTGTTTCAGAAGATACTTTTCAAAAGTATTCAAATAATCAGAATAGTGCTAATCGTGAATTTGAATCATACTTTTTATTACCAAAAGCTCCAGGTGAAACAAATATACTTGAATGGTGGGCATCAAGAAAAATTGACTACCTAATACTTGCAAAACTTGCTCATAAATATTTAGCCATTCTGGCAACATCTATACTATCTGAACGACTTTTTTCTTCAGCAGGCCTTACTATTACTGAAAAATGTACAAGCCTTGATCCTCAATTTGTTGGATCAATCTTGTTTCTTAAAGCAGCCTTAAAACTTTGGCTGGCTTCACATGTTTTTGGGTAAGTAATAAAATTTATATTAAATATTTGGCTAATTAGTTTCGAAATTAAATAATCATAAATTTTATTAGACAAGAGCCATTGCGAAGCAAATGCAAATTAATCAAAAATCAAATCGTAGATACTTAGAATTTGTGAAAAAAACTATTATATTATAGAATAAATTAGAGTAATATTTATATATTTAAGTAAATAGTTATTTCAAATTGAGTCAAACGATGCTAAAAATTAGAGAAGCATCTTACCATATAATGGAACTATATAAAGAATCACTTGAAGATTTAAATAAATCATTGGAAATCAAGCGTTGATTTTAAGGACAATACGTTGTAAAAAATTTGAAGAATGTGTATTGTTAAACTTTTTTTTTTAATATTTAAGTTATATCAAACAATGCGATACGTATTGATGCTTTATAAAATGTAATATTTATGATGATCGTAATACGTAGAGTGCATATGCGGATTTGCCTGTTTTAGAATACGTATAAATTAATAAAGTTTGACCTATCTGATTTTTGATCTGTTTGACCCGGGTTAGACTAAAATTTGACCCGTGATCTGTCAAATTTTTGACCCGTACAGGTCAATGTGACCCGGGTAACAGCTTTAAGTAAAAGTCTCCTATAGGTTCACCCCCTGAGCTAATGATCCATAAACTAAATTACGCTTTTCACTTATTACTGTAGGATATTCATTTCTGAGCCAATATAATGCTTGACCAATCCGAATATCACCAAATACTATAGGATTAGCATTACCTGCATTAACAGCATTGGCAGGTCTATCCGATAGACTTCCTCCAGCTAAGCACCAATCTTCAGTAAAAGCTTCAGCTGGAATCATGGAAACACCTACAGTTACTGCATTATTACTAGCAGTATTTGCATAGTCATGGGCAATTGAAGGATTTCTAAAGCTATTACTAATATTCATCTGTGCCATAGTGTGTCCCCGAAGAGCACCCATACTAGCCTGGCCATGATTTGCAAAAATATTGTGAAGCTTCTATCCTTTACCAAGAATTTTTCAATCAAACCATTCTAATGCTTGCCCATGTAGACACCCTCTAAGAATACCAAATGCTTGATCCCGATTGGCAACTGGGTCTATACCAGTGCCAGCTAAATATGACGATAATCGACTAATAAAAATATCAATATCCTCATCAT